TAGCAAAACTAAAACAAAAAATAAAATTCAAAAATTCTGAAAAACAATATGTCATGCAGAAGAATAAACTAAACAACATTTGCCTCAACAGTGCATCCAAATTCCTTACCAGATTTGAAATAAAAATCAAATACGAAAAATAAATAATATTAATKAAAATAAGAAAAAATAAAACAAGAATGAAATTATTGCGTGGGCGAGCAAGTTTTTGACACCGCCATCTTTGGCAATTTTTCATTTTTTTTTGGATTTGTGAAATGCCATGAAATTTTATACATATGTATCTTACATAATAGAAGACCTACAAAAAAAGTTTGAAAAAATAATTATTTTTTTCAGGCCCCGAAATAAAAGGAAAACAAAAAGTGAAAAGAAAAAAAAAAAAAATTAGTAAGTGGGAAAGCAAGTTTTGAAACCACCATTTTTACCGATTTTTCATTATTGTTTGGCTTGATAGAATGAATTCAAAATTCAGCGACAGGTAGCTTACATAACAGAGAACTCACAACAAAAAAACAGAAAAAAATAATAATGTTTAGGTACCAAAATATTTTTTTGCGGGGTCCGAACCCCTTCGAGTTCGGGCCCCGTACGGGGACCCGAACACCCGAACGTTCGGGGGTCAGCTTAGGGGCCTCCGTACGTTCGTCCTGGCAACTCTGTATATATATATTTATTTTTTTTTCGGGGCCTTTTAATATTTGTGTGTAAACGTGTGTGTGTGTGTGTTAAGTCACAATACAAAACTGCCGCAATCATGTTACGGCATGTTCCGTCAGGAAATCATGCGGGGGAGCAACAATACGTGGGCGGGCGACCCTCAGCCATATGTTCGCAAAACAACCAGTGAACTGACAAATGGTAACTGAAATCATAGCTCATGTCGTCTGCGGATGCAGGGAAAGAATACAGCACACCAATCATTCGATAATCCAAGCAAAGGAGGAATGGGAGCAGGGCGCCCGATAGGTAGTACATTTCCTGTAAGGGGAAACATTCCAAAACACTGGGTAAGAAAATTGGGGGAGAGGAGGCAGAACAGCTACTCAAAGGACACAACACAGAGTCCTTAGCCAGGCTAGACTCGGTTGGAATGGTGTGAGCAAGTCCTGCTAGGCGATTGCGCCGGAGTCTGAAAAAAAAATCAACAGACCATTGACACGTATTTTTTGTAAAGAACGCATTCGTCATTCGATAAAGTGCAAAACTGAACAAGACGGGCCGTGTCCTTTATTCGACAATAAACCGTGAATCAACAATATTAATCGCTTAGGCATCCATCAATAGAGAATGAACTCGTGAGTTCGAACATGGTCAGAAAAATAAACAGAAGCAGGAAAGTGATTCAAAAGAGCCC